ATCACATGGCTAGTAACTTATAAAAAATTTATTTAAATTTTTATTTTTAAGCCGTGCAATATTTTTGTCCCCCCCCCGGTAGGTGTGCAAAGTGTGTTTTTTTTGAATGTTGCCTTTTCCGTCAATGATCCAGGATTACAAAGCTTGGGATAGAAATTTTCATAAGATTCGCGAAAAATATCTTGTATTCTTAAAGATAATTCTATATCATCCACAAAAGACGACATATCCTTTAGGGATGCTGGAATAGAAACCTGACCGACATGAAGCATAATATAAATTCCTTTAACAAGATCCATTATGTAATAGTCAACTTTATAATCTATGAATGATCAAAAAGTGATTAAAAGAATAGGAAAACAAAAGCAAAAACAAAAGCAAATAATTGTATTAATTCCTTACCAATACACTGGAATCCCAGAACTTTTATATCGGCGCCTTTATCAACAGATGAATCTAGGATATCTTTCATAAACACACCAAGGCGGATAAGATCGTTACAGTTTTTATATACATCCCCCTTTTTTGATGGAGGGCTAACTTCACCCACAAATAAGGTAGCACTTGTCTGTAACTGACAAATAATGGAAACTGTGAAGTCAGGCTGTTTAGTGCGACCTTCAAATTTTCTAGTTTTGCTTTCATTTAAGGCCGTATTGGGCCATTGTACTATGTATTTATCGGGATTATTAAAGAGTCCTCTCATTATGCGATCAAGGAAATTAGTATAGTGTGTGATCTCACTGTGTTCGTTTCTAATTTTTGAAGTTGGTAACGTTCTTAAGCAATCCAGAACAATAAAACCTAAATTCTCTCTCAAAGGTTGTTCACTAGAAAGTTTCCCACATAACCAATTAGTAGAATCATCCCGCGATCCACTTATTGCCATTTTAATTGATTTTCTGAATGTTACTTCGGAATCTGGATCTAATAATTTTTGTTGATCCGATGTAAGTTTTTGATGAATTTCATCGAGCAAGGACAATCCGAAGTGATCGATCATTGTTCTGGAATAGGAATTCGGGGCAAGCAATAAAATAGATGATAGAGATAAAATTTCCTGTACATTTGATTCTACGAATAATCCCTTGTCCCTCGCAATATTTAGCGACTGATTTTGATAATTTCGAAAGATTATAGATACATTAGTATTTCCCACGTGTAAATCATCTGCAGAATCTCCTCCATTTTCGAAAGAAAATTCGTATGGAACATCATCAATTATAATTTCATCCTCTTCCTCCTCAATGAATGGACTTTCCTCTTCCGATAGATGTTTTATTGGGCTACCCTCCTCCTCAATGGATGAATGTTTTATTGGACTACCCGGGGAAGGAGTAGTAAATCCGTCCGTCTGGTGATAATGCTTTCTTCTTTTTCTGACATCTTGTTCTGCACGAGCAAAGTCAGCCAATATTATTGATGTTTCATTATGCTCCACTACCGTTTCTTTCAAGACATTAAGAGACCTTTCATTCTACATAAACATAAAATATTTGTATAATGATTACATTAAATCTGAATGTATTAAATCAAACCCTTACCATTAGCAAATGTTTATCTGCCTATTTCATGGGAAACAGAGAAAGAATTAAATTAAGTTTGTGTTTAAGATGTGCGGGTAAAGACTAAAAAAAATTTTCATTACCTGTATTTCACGAACTTTTGCGTCAGTTATCTTCCTTTTCAACTCTGCTTTATCGTTTGCAAAAATACCAGCCCAGAAATCATAGATACTTCCGCCAGGATTTGAATCATTCTGCAAAAAAAAAATAAGTTATCTACATGCTTCTGCAAGTCTATGGACGGATTTCGGCGGAACGTATTCCATCACCACTCAAGATCGTAATCCAGTGGCTAGCCGTAGTCCCAGCGGAACGTATTCCATCACCACTCAAGATCGTAATCTAGTGGCTAGCTTCTCAGTTGGACAATTACACATGGGCAGATACCGTAGATCCCCATGCTCTTTGTCAACCGCCATATGACTCACAAAAGCTGAGGTGATTCAGTAGTACTAGTGAAAACAAGTATTACTAATAGAAAGTGCCTACCTGAAATTGTTTCAACATTTTCGATGCTGCTGATTTCTCTTCCTGTGACCCGGAACTCGTAAACCATTCGAGTTGTCGGGTGAGTGCCAACCTAACTTTGGACTTGTTCATTTCATATTTCGTTGCATACCATTCCCGGTGATATTCAAGCGCGTCCCAATCTTCGCAAGGTGTGGTGAGAAATAAGAAAAACCCGGCTTATCTGTAAGATTATTGTCCTTTCTCATTGTTCTGAGGTTAGTTAATAAAAACAACTCGGAATTTCAGATGTACCAAAAATTACCAGTATCATCTGACAAATCGCGTGACAAATAGGGATGTAAGACGCGTTGATCATTTTAACTAGAATAATTTTCGTTTTGCATTATTGTTTGTATTGTCAATGTCTGGCGGCGTAATGAAAATGACGACAATTTCTCAGATGTTTCTTCAACTTCTTTAGCAACTGAAGAAGATTCCAATATAACAACTCG